CCAAAAAAGGGAAGAATGAGCAAATCCAAAGTGAAAACGATGCTCATTGTCTTTTCTGACATGAAAGGCATCGTCCACCATGAATTTCTTCCTCCTGGCCAAACCGTCAACGCCAAGTTTTACGTGGAAGTGCTCAAGAGACTCAAACGAAGGGTCAATCGGGTCCGACAAGACATAGCAGCCGACTGGAAGTTGCACCACGACAACGCCCCGGCTCACACCGCCTTTCTTGTGGACAGCTACCTGACCAACGCTTCCGCAGCCGCCCTACAGCCCAGATGTGACCCCCCTGGACTTTTCTCTGTTTGCTCGCCTGAAAAGGCCGGTGAAAGGCAAGTATTTTGAGACGACAGAGGCGATCTAAGCAGCATGACGTCTGACGCCTTCGATGCTTGGAAATCGCGCTGGCAGCGCTGCATCGACGCAGAAGGAGCCTATTTTGAAAGTTTTTAAAGAATTGTAACGATTGGCTCAGTCCTATTACTTTCCGGACAAACCCTGTATTTCTTATAATCGTTCAGAAAGCCATATTGAATTTAAAAAGTTCTATTTCTGTATGTGCAAGAGGTGAATTAAGTCAGATTTGTTCTGTCACATGACTGATTTATGGAGATAATGCTTGCATGTGGCGTAACAAGAGAGATATGAACAAGAACTCGTCGCGGTCTGCATAATTTCCTATTGTCGACCAATTCCCGCTACCATAACAACAAAATGAAATATGGATCCGATTCGTGGCAACAAATAGAATTTTGCTGATAAGAGGTTGGCAGATGTTTTACGGGACTTTGCGCTTTCCGAGACCGTTCGATTAGGCGCAAGTCTGCGACCCCATCTGGCCGTTTGATTTATTCAATTTTTCGGAATCGTTGCTTCGCCAGAGTCAGATATATGGTCGAGATAAACTCCATTCTTGGGTATATGAAATAGAAATGCGGCGAATATGATAGCGCTGGAAACAATGACAGGAGCGTCGCGACAGCACGGGACACCAACCCCCGAATCGATCCCAGTTACTGCCTTCTTTCTTTCTATAACAGTTTCCTCGAAAACTGTTATTATATTCTAAAACTTTTACGTTTTTACTAATACCAATATATTCCTTTGAAGAATTAGAAATCAGATTTTGGTATATGGTCTAAAATTTGTTTACCACATGATCCCCTCTTGAAAGGGTCATTACCACCTAGAGGGTTTATTATACTAAAAGCCAGTTTGGATCCCAATAGTAAAGACAAATGAAGGGTTTGGAAAAACTNCTTTGAAGAATTAGAAACCAGATTTTGGTATGTGGTCTAAAATTTATTTACCACATGATGCCCTCTTGAAAGAAGCGTTTAGGGTCATTACCACCTAGAGGGTTTATTATACTAAAAGCCAGTTTGGATCCCAATAGTAAAGACAAATGAAGGGATTGGAAAAACTAAGGATTCATCAATGAGAAGCCAAAAGATGATTGATCCAAATGTGAAAGTATAAATAGTTGTTTGACTAGGCCTACATGCATTGAGGTACTAAATGCTATAATGAAAGCCAAAATGGTTAAAAATTAACTAGACCATGTAACTGGTAGTAATAAATGCTTTAGCGGCCTTTAGTTAGGGGAGAGTGAAGGGGTGATGTGATGTGTATGAGGTTTATCGATTGAGAAGGAAAACGAGAAGCTGCGAGAAGTTTTTGGAAGAGCTGGAAGAGCATGGTTCCATCCTCTATATCATTTAGATTTCTTTTAGAAACCATAAAAAAACACTGTTTTGTTCACCATATTTTTTATCTTTCTCTTTTCTAGTTTTCTACTATTCTTTTTCCAGATGATTTCTCACACTATTTTAAAACTTGTTCTCCCTTTTATTTGCTCTTTCCATTTTTTTGTTCTCTCCCATTACTATGCACCTTATTATAAAAATGTGCTTCAGTATCTAGCGTCTTCAATAGGTATTTTCTTAGTACAAATCTCTAAAGGCTTTCGCGGCCAGTTGGCGAACTGGTGCTGTCCTCCTTCGGGTATGAAGGCCACTGTTGGAGTTGTACTAGTACTTTCTTACATTATCCATTTTTATCCTATATTTATTCGCTTTGTCTTGCTACATGGTTTGAATCTTGCTGTTAGTTGCTTTCCATTTTTCTTATTTTAGTTTGTTCCACTGCATATTTTGGTAATTCTTGGATTTCTCAATTTTTCTTGTCTCTTCTCTCTTCTTATTTCTATATCTCTACTTCTCTTTCCTAACTTCTTTCTATAATCTACTCCAGCAACTTGTTTCTTTCTTTTTAGTCAGTTTTATTTTTTATGTTTTACAGCTGTCGCTGCATTGAAGTTACGAAATTGTGTGAATATTAATTAACAAGCATTGACAACATCCAGTGTACGAGATGAGAATAATTAATTAAAATGAAATAGCCCAATAAGAAAGGTAGCCGTGTATAGATTGAAATTAAAAATTATGCAAATTTATTTGCATATTTAGTCAGTCTGCTTCAATTTCGACTTTTTAACTGGCTCTGAATTATTTATGTGGGAATTACACTATCGGAGACGGAATTAGGTAGGTAACACATGTCACAGACGTATGGATTTGGATCATACAAAAACATACTAACAACAGTTACTAGAGTATACAAGTTCAATGGAATCGTTTCTACTCTACATATTACGCAATTAATGTAAATTAGAATTTTCCTTTAATGGTTCAATGCTTTTTCCTTTTCAATATAGATCGCATTAATCATTTAACCAGATTGGTTAATAGCGTAACTAGTAAAGCTATGTAATTGCGAACTATGCATCTAGGTTATGACGGTAAGAGTTAAGGGTAGAGGTAATTTATAAGCTCATGGGCCATGACCTTGGGATCCGCAATGACACAACTCCGTCTATTTACTGATTTCTAGATGGCTAAATGAAGACTCCACTCACAAAACATACAAAAATTTATTAGACAATGTTTTGCATTGTCATTTGTGTAAATATATTTATTTTGGATGCGACAGCCATTAATTGAACGATATTAATAAATAAAGATAAAACAAAAATACAGGTATGCAAGGGAAGAAAAAATAGGAAAAGGGCGAATATAAAGGTATGAGTCGAAACACTAAAAGAAGTGACTGATTTTAGGTATGTAGGAAGTCAGGACGGAAGGATCATTAGGGATATAAAGCAGAGGATAGCGCAGGGTCGAGTCGCCTTCAATAACAAGAAGTCACATTTATGCTCGCGAACAGTTAATTTAGAAATTCGAAAAAGATTGTTAAAAGTGTATGTTTGGAGCGCGGCATTGTACGAGTGCGAAACATGAACGGTGGGCGCTGCGGAAATGTTTAGAAGCTTCCGAAATGTGGTGTTACAAGCGAATGATGAGGATACCGTGGATAGAGAAGGTTAGAAATGAAGTGATTTAGAAAGAATAGGAGAACAGAGGACTCTATAGAAGTCAATAACAAATAGACGAGATAGGACACCTTCTTAGGCTTGAAGGTTTAGTTAGAGACATTTTAGAAGCAGGAACGGGAGTTAGGAAGGGTAGAGGTAGACTTAGATAAGATTACTGTTCGTAAATAGTTAAGGATGTGAGATGTTTTAGTTTTAGGGAAATGCGAAGATTAGCTCAGGATAGGAAAGAGTGGAGTGTGTGGAGTGCGTGTCCAATCAGTCTTAGGACTGACGACCTTATGATGATGATGGTGATTAAACGGAGTGAGAATTGAAAAACTGACTATTTTTCAATAAGAGCTGGCTGGAAACTCGCAAAATACAATAAATGAGGCATTAATGAGAATTAATTTAATAAGCATGTAAATAGATAAGCGAAATGTCTATAAATTAAGATTTGCAAGATCTTAATGTTCAATTTTCAATAATAAAGGAATCAATTATAAACATGTTTCATTTACTTATATGTACGTGCTTTTCTATAGGCTTTTAATAAATAAAAAGGTTTTGTTTTGCCCTTGCACTGGTTTGTTCAGGAGCGTTAAGGGAATACCGCCAGTTACATTTTTATTTCGCGATGATTTATATTGGTATTAGGACACTCCAAGCTAACCTTTTGATTTGTTCTATACAATAATAATAGAGTCAGCTCGGTAAATGGGACTCTAGGGGGTGATATTTCAAATAGGGGGAGCGTCCCTACTCAATTTACCGCTACATTATAGGAGCGCGTTGGTTAAGTTACAGCAGCAGCCGTTCCCGGTGAACTTGTTGTTGAAGGTGCTGCNAGTAATCGAAGCTGTAAATGGTTATTTTGAGGAGCTTGACGAATCAGTCTATAGAGATGGCATTAATAGACTGGAACACCGCTATGAGAAATGTATCAGCCTTGGAGGAGATTATGTTGAGAAATAAAAAAAAAAAATTTTTAAAAACCTTGTTTTTCTTGGTCAGGCCGGAAACTTATCAATCCACCCTCGTAAAGCAGAGGATAGCGCAAGGTCGTGTCGCCTTTAATAAAAAGAAGTCACTTCTATACTCGAGTACGGTCAATTTAGAAATTCTAAAAAGGTTGTTAAATGTGTATGTTTGGAGCACGATACTGTACGGCTGCGAAACATGAACAGTGGGCGCTGCGGAAAAGAAAAGTTTAGAAGCGTCCGAAATGTGATGATGAGGATACCGTGGATAGAGAAGGTTAGAAATGAAGAGATTTAGAAGGAATAGTAGAACAGAGGACTCTATGGAAGTCAATAAGAATCAGGTGAGATAGATTGGTAGGACACCTTATCAGGCACGAAGGTCAAGTCAGAAACATATTACAGGCAGAAACGGGAGTTAGGAGGGGTGGAGGTAGACTTAGATTAGATTACTGTTCGTAAATAGTTGTCGATGTGGGATGTTCTAGTTTTAGGGAAATACGAAGATTAGTTCAGGATAGGAATAGTGGAGGTGCGTGTCCAACCAGCCTTAGGATTAATAATGTCTTACCAGTTGTTTAAATGGGTTAACCATTTTAAACATTTTTGGTCGCTAAATTGGAGGCAAATTAACTATTTAAACTCACCGCTACCCTGCTTTCCTTAAGGTCAAGTCTCATCGCCAGAGCCTCTCTCATGAACACATCGGGATAATGACTAGCCATGAAGGCTCTTTCGAGTTCTTCCAGTTGCCAGCTGTTAAAGTTTGTCCGGCTTCTTCTCCTTTTGGCAGCCGCACTTTCCGAATCTCCTCCTTCTCCACTACTCGTACCACCACCTGAAACAATTTGTATTCCGTAAACGTTTAGGCTGTTAGTCCAATTTTGATTTTATTGCACGGACTATCTAAATTGTAATTGAAATTGTAAGGATGTTAATCAACGTGCACGAGTTTCATGTGCTTGACCTATTGTCCGTGATGTTGGACAATATTACTAAACAGTTTAAAATAGCACGTGGAAATGGAACTGGAACAAATTGATATTTGCAGTTGGCACAAATGGTCCGTTTTCACAAACGCTGTGGTTTAATGATAATGACAAAGCAATGGTCTCGCGATACTGATTCGATTTCCATTAATCAGTGGAATTAAGCATTATTATGGTGGTGGAAAATGGCCTTTGAACTAAACATGTAATGTCTGTTATTAGTACGTCTTTTTAGGAAGTAAATCTATTGTATCTTTATCAAAAATGCTGTAAGGCGTTCTAGGAATTACACAGGGTGTAACATAAATAAGTGCCGAGCTTGCAGGAGGCGATAGAGTACTAGAAAACATGAAAATTAAGTAAATATTTGTGTGTCCGAAGGTTCATCGTTTTCGAGAAGAACGTTGAAACTACAGGTAAATTCAATTCCGGCCCTGGTTGAGAAATACGGCCAGCAACGTTCCACTCAATTAGCTGGTGATTACCAGCATCATTGTAGTATTTGATGTGTATTCTTTTGCTCATGTATTGTTTGTTTGTTAGATTAGATTATGTGTGACGCAGGGTGTTTATGTTGATAGTCAACCTTTAGTACCTTAGACGTTCAATTATTGACAATGATTACATTTTCCATCGAAGTAGCTGCAGAGCTTATATTTCACTATGCTATTTGGTAGACATCTATGTTGCCCACTCACGCACAGGAGTGGCTTCGGCTAGTAAATTATTGTGATTTTCTTAAAAAAAAATTGCCCAATGTGTAATTCACTAATTGTTTGATGTCCAATATGAAATTGCTNAGGACTGACGACCTTATGATGATGATGATTAAACGGAGTGAAAATTGAAAAGCTGACAGTTTTTCAACAAGAGCTGGCTGGAAACTCGCAATAAATAAGGCATTAATGAGAACATACAATTAATTTAATAAGTATGTAAATAGATAAGCAAAATGTCTTTAAAACAGATTCCTAAAAATTAAGATTTGCAAGATTTGAAAATCTTAATGTTCAATCTTCAATAATAAAGAAATCAATTATAAATTGAGTACAAGTGTTTCATGTTTCATTTACTTATATGTACGTGCTTTTCTATAGGCTTTTAATAAATAAAAAGGTTTTGTTTTGCCCTTGCACTGGTTTGTTCAGAAGCGTTAAGGGAATACCGCCAGTTACATTTTTATTTCGCGATGATTTATATTGGTATTAGGACACTCCAAGCTAACCTTTTGATTTGTTCTATACAATAATAATAGAGTCAGCTCGGTAAATGGGACTCTAGGGGGTGATATTTCAAATAGGGGGAGCGTCCCTACTCAATTTACCGCTACATTATAGGAGCGCGTTGGTTAAGTTACAGCAGCAGCCGTTCCCGGTGAACTTGTTGTTGAAGGTGCTGCTGCTGCTGCTGCTGTTGATGATGCTGGTGCTTGTGGAGATGGTGGTACGTATTTATACGTTTCTGCCTGTGACTCGACGACATCGCCCCAGTAATGCATACTTTCAACGGGCATCAAACATTATTAGGTTAGGATTAGTGTTAAGCTAATAAAATACGGGGCACGTTCGCACATCCGATTTCTTCGCTCTCGTTACGTTTGCGGCTTCGAATAAAGCATGAAGCTCCTAATTCCCGGATTATGTGATAACGATGGTACAACGATTTGCTCTTTTATTTGAATGGAAATGGGGATCTCTCGGTTTACGTAAAAAGTATGTTAAACAGATTGATAACGATATTACCGTTACATATAGATTCCATTTTTCCCTTTATCACAATTACAGCCAAAAAAACACTACGATTACAGAGATGACAGATGACGAGTGGTTTTTCCTGACCTGTCTTCTTTTTTTAATTTTATTAAATGATAGCTACCGAATGATATTAAAATATTTAATTTTTTTTTACCGTTGACTAATTGATTTGAGGGACAGAGTGTGAGGCGATTATAATTTTCTACACAAAAAAAGATAAATTTTAATTTACAAAGTGTACCACCAGAGGCTCTTCTCTTTTTTGCTCGTTTAAGTCAATCATTCCATGACTTGCAATTATTCCTTCTTAGGCGACTTGATGTAAATGTATGATAATGAAATACACCTGCTACACGTTTTGCAGTTTCTTGCCTTGATGCATGTTAATTTTCTATATTTTTGTGGCACATAACACCATTAGCATATCGTTTCGCATTATTGTAAATAGATATCGGTTATTAATAGATGTCAATAAAAAAAGGTCGGCCTTAGGAATGATTAAAATTAATAATTTTTAACAGTAACGGTTTACAGGATTGTAGTAATCGACATCTTATTATAATTTATTAATGTTCGTTCGTAAAAGCATACTTTTTACTAATGGGCCGATACGGAAATGATATTTTCGCCGCCGACTACAATTCGACTAATGGAAATATTTAAATTGATCTCCGTGTATTTTATACAGGATGCTCTATTCAAATCGTCGCAGAAAAGAAAGAAAAAGGTCGTTTTTTGAGAAACATTTAAAATTTCTCTAGCTTTTCCGACTCATAATAATAGAAAGTAGTCCCTAACAATATGGTAACAATTGAAAAGGTGTAATAGCTGTTACTGACAACAATTGAAAAAGGAAAATGGCCGCCAACGGCAACAATACAGCAACAATTGAAAAAGGATAATGGCCGCCAACGGCAACAATACAGCAACAATTGAGAAGTGTAATGGCTGCCAACGGCAACAATAGCACAATGATGGCCGACAATTAAGAGCAAGGATAAACGTAGAGTTGATGCCCTGTTGAAATGACATTTAATTTTTTCTCTTTGATTTTTATGTAAAAGAACTTGTTGATGATTTATAACAACAATCTAAGTAATATTTAGTTTTTGTTATATTGTTTTGAGTTGTTAACAAAACTAATTTTTTACCAATAGGTTATGTTTGAAGCAATATGATACTGTAATTTTAATTTAAGGTGTAAGGCAAATTAATAAAATGANTAATTATTTCTCTTTGATTTTTATGTAAAAGAACTTGTTGATGATTTATAACAACAATCTAAGTAATATTTAGTTTTTGTTATATTGTTTTGAGTTGTTAACAAAACTAATTTTTTACCAATAGGTTATGTTTGAAGCAATATGATACTGTAATTTTAATTTAAGGTGTAAGGCAAATTAATAAAATGACTTATTGTTAACCATTTAAAATACATCATCCTTATAACAACTTCTAATTGAGTTCTGATCAAATATTCCCTAGGGAACTAAAATTCTTTCATTGGATATCATGCAGGAGAGGTGAAGAGTACGGAAATTAAAGTGTCAAACTAACTTTTTTTGGTTAAAAACTGTACATTCTTTGTCAATAGTTATGAAACACTACCTATTGTTAGCAATAAGTATCTATACATGATTTCTTGCATGACTGGTGGTGAATTACGGGAACTGATTATGGTGTGCTGATGGGAGCTAACAAGTTCGAAATCGCTATCCATAACTGATTGTTTCTAATATAATTTACTGGTTAAGATCCGAAAGCTCTTTAGTTGAAATACAAATTAATAAAATTAAACATGAACACCCCGTATGTGTTGCAGAAGAGAATGTACATTACTAATTTTGTCACTTTTGTCGAAACCGATAAAGTAGTTGGCTTAAACAACGCCATAAATCTAAATTAATGAGGACGGAAGGCAATTTGTTTTTATTAGAGTCGAATCTAAAGACCATTTTCTTGGTCGTTTGTGTATATTACGACGATAGCAGTTTGATACCCGTACGTACACGTATACACCTGTCTTATAACGTGTGTCTAATACGTACATGTACGTTTATCTATGCAAAGTATTCCTACCCTAATTTATTGCGTCGTTGCCGTCATCACGAAAATAAATTCCAGTTGTGGGAACGAGAATTACATCTAATATTGGAAGCTTACAAGTTAAATCAATGAGGAAGCCGAATTGTGAGACCTTCGATTCGTTTTAACACGATAATAAAACCGACTCATTTAATTGAAATGTTTTATTAGAAGAAGAGGCGGTAAACGATTCCCAGCATTCGAATTTAATGTGTTTTTATTAAATACCTTTGTTGTTGTTTCTTTTTCATTTATTAACTAAAAAGAAAAGGTTAGAAGCGTTCGAATTGTGGTGTTACTGGCGAATAATGAGGATACCGTGGATAGAGAAGGTTAGAAATGACGAGGTATTAGAAAGAATAGGACAACAGAGGACTCTATGGAAATCAATAAGGAATAGGCGAGATAGGTCGGTAGGACACCTTCTCAGGCATGAAGGTCTAGTCAGAGACATATTAGAGGCAGAAACAGGAGTTAGGAGGAGTAGAGGTAGACGTAGATTAGATTACTGTTCGCAAATAGTTAAGGACGTGGGTTGTTCTAGTTTTAGGGAAATGCGAAGATTAGCTCAGGATAGTAGAGTGGAGGTGCGTGTCCAACCAGTCTTGGGACTGAAGACCTTATGATGATGGTTAATTAATTAAACTTTCAATCTTAGGAAGTTGCTATCAGCTAAAACCTATTATAACTACAATCACATGTACAATTCTAAGAGTAGATGTGTCCAACTAAAAAATTGGTTGAGTGAAACCTTCAGGAATCTAAAAAGGTGTGTGTTGCGGGACAAACAACCGAAGTAAAATGTACTTGCACGAAGCTTTTGAATGTTTCATTCCTATCGGCTGCTAATGCTGTTGGGCGGCCAGTTCGTCCGCCGTGGGGATGGGCGGGTGGTGATTGTGGCGAGAAAGATAGGACGGATCAAATGTAGGCAGGAGAGAAGTGAAAGATTATCTGTGAAATATTATCTAGAAAAGTTTCGAAGTGTTCGAAATATGGTGTTACAGGCG